AACTGGGCTGGAAGGCGGAAACTGCGGAATTTGGTTGGATTCCGACTAAACAGAGCGGGAATTTCGGAAATGATTTTGGACGTATTTTCGAGCCACAGTGATAAATGAGAGATGCCAGCAATACATTCAGACATACGAAATTTATGTAGAATGGCCCATAGAGTATAATGATAATGATAATATGAAACAATAAAATAGCAAATACTTTGTAGGCCAAACAAAGAAGTATATATTTGAAATATTTGGAGAAAATGAACTATTCTACCTTTCACTGAGAAACCAAAGCCCTTCAGTGGTCAGAAGACATGTAGACAGATGGACTGCCAGACAGACAGTCGGCCTCATGCAGCGACAGAGTATGCACTCTCTGGATGCAGTACTAGTAGACTGGCAGACAGACTTCACACTGCCCCAGATGACAGACGAGTGTTCAGCGATGGCTCCCGGTAGACGGGAAGACGGGGACCCAGACAAGACAGATGACAGCATAGGAACAGCAGAAACAAAATGAACTGAATTCTTATTAACAAATGAATTCTTTACTTGAAATGAAACCAAATTATTATCATTATACACGAAAGCTTGGAAGACAGAAAACGCAACGAGCAACAGGTAAGACGACAAGAAATGTCTCGTCTTCGCAGACTGAAAGAAAAAAATCCAAACTGACCGAAAACCAAATTCACCACACAGCATTCGATCCCCTAATCAGGTTAAAAATGCGAATGCCCTGCCCGTCTTAAAAACCTGAACTCGAAGTTGATGTACATTTTCGTATTTTGAGTGCATCCCAATTGGACACTTAGCAGCAAGGCAAAACGGGGCTCAGAAGGGAAGATACGAGTGATTTAAATATTCGTTGCCGACGTTGCAATGTTTAGATTTACTGCAAGACGAGGATATTTTAAGTTTCATCAAGTGCGCTAAGGTTTCAAACTTTTTAACGATTTGTTAGCAAGCTCGCTGAACGTTAAAAAGTACGACCATTCACGTCTCGTTTGGTGTGTTCATGAAGCACACATAAACGATGCTGCTCCACTCCAAGATCTGTTTTTTTCCAGGACTGGGAAAGACTTAGGAGTGAAAGTGAAAAGCAATACGTCAAGCCACGCGTGCGAAGCAACCATCAATCACAACCCCACACCCTGAATTTATATCCTAATTAAATAGAACGCTAAACACTCGGCCAGAAATCATGGATAATTGAAGAGTGATTTATCAAGCGGCGCGTTCGAGGCTTAAAAGCTCCGAAGAAGCCCGTCACCGGCCCCCCTTACACCCTCCCCCACGCATACACACACCCACGAGGCAAAGACTCTGCGATTGGCGATATTTACCGGCCAGCCCCCTACACATGAATAAATTGAGCATCAAAGCCTTGGAATCCAGTTGAGGAGGGAAGAGTTATTAATGAAAAATAGTCCCCAGCTAAGATCAAGTGCAGAGTTAACAGCCGGAGGCTCCCATATTTTCCACTGCGATAATTCCGGATCTCACCCATTGCCCCTTTCTTGTTTTTCTTGGTGCATGCGTACAAACGCCTCCACTTATAGGCCGGCCCCGGAGAGTTGCCGCACACAACTGCAGCCTGTTCACACACACATGCACAAAAACCGTTCCGTCTGGTGCCCGCCGTTTCCTCCCTGAGCTCCGTTAACATGTGGGCTACAATTTTCCCCCGGAACAAAATGTCAGGATAAATTTTCAACACAGCCTGAAAAACAAATACATTACTCAATTACGTAAATGATCACATTTTTATATATGTAAAAATCGCACATTATCGAAACATAACTGCTTTTTTAGAGTCAATCTAGTACATTCGTAAGGACGGCCAAAACGACACATACAAAATATATTACATTTATTATTTTAAACTTTTTGCGTTTTCATAACTCCATATAATGTATTACTAAGCAACCTTTGTGAGTACCTTAACGACTTCATTTATACGGAAAAAGCAAAAATATTCAGCAAGAAAATTACCATTTAATCATTTATTTTTTTATATGCCTCTCTGTAAAGCATATGAACTTCACATGTGCGAATATGCAAAGGGGACACTATTCTACAGAAATTCATCCACACATAGCACCGCACTAATGCATTAAGGAAAACATCGTACAGCGGTAACTAACTTCCAGTAGGACAATATCGTCATGCCTTTGACAGATCTCATATGCGGTCAGCATGGTGCTCATATTATTAACCCTTCGTCTTGAACCTCAAGATGTCCTTGATTGGGCAATCAGTGACTAAATGCTCTCCTCTGCCCATGTCAAGATCCAATAAGCTCCGTGGCACGACGGATGTTAGCATTTTGTACCGAGAGACTTATCCACATAGCAAACTGCATTGAAATACACAAAGAACCCGGACTCAACGATCATTCTAGTGAACAAACGATCCTTTTATGACGGCTGTGAGCGGCCTATGCCATTTAAATACGTCACAGAGGCTATTATGACGAAAAATATAATGTGCAAGTCAGTCTCAGGCATATACTGCGATATTTTTCTTCTGTTTGTTAAAAAAGGCGGTGAGCTTCCATTTCAAAAGAAATGGACTCAAACACCTTTCCCGTCTGTGAAAATAATTAAAGACAATGCATTTGACCAACATGCGCGAAAAACATACGCGCTGACAACATAATGAGCAAATAGCGACCACGACCCATAGAGGATTATGTGGCTTTACTTTCAATCATAATTGAGACAAATGAGTTTTTAATTTACATCCTTCGGCTGATAGGCCAAGGAATTCTGTTCAATGCGTGGTGACAACACACTAATGACAGAACTACATTACCCCCGAGTATAATTACTCGGCGAAGCGTGTGTCTCACGCGCCCCCTACTGTGAGCGTTAATTCCTAACTGGTTGCCCGGTGAGGATGAGCGCGAAAAAGAGACAGAAGACGAGATGATCATGTTGGTCGCTTTTAAAAATCCATCGGCACTCTAGATCCGGATCGACAGCGGATAATGAGCACCGACTTCCGCGGTTTTCCCCTCGATCGCGTCATCTTTGACTCTGACAACTGCATAATGCGACGTGACGGCGTTACACGCCGGCTATTATGGAGGCAAATTGCAGACAATCAATTGGGATCGACGTAGAAGGAGGAAAGACGAAGGGGAAAAAGGGAAGGGGGGATACCCACGAAACCCTCGGACTTATATCATCTTTCAACCTTGGATCATCAGCAGAGCCGCGGGGAGCTCAACCTTACCGGGCTCCTTCTCGAGGCTGCAGCGTTATTATCTCCTCCCTGAGACTTGCCGGTGCCACTTTTCAAAACCACACCCGGGCCGTTTTTTTTCACTTCTCGTCATATTCTCGTCATAAACGCTCCCAATGGACCCAGCCGACGCTTGTCTCCCCCTCTCGTGTTTCACGTACCCGCGGGCGGGTCTTCGGTATATAAGGGCAGGCTCCTCCGGGAGCCACCCGATTCTGGCCTTGTGGGGGAAGCAAAAGAATGCCGATCAGGGGAAGACCGTAGGTGATTTGATCAAGCGGGAATAGTACAGGAACTACAAAGATGCGACACTTAATATTTGGCCAGGTTGTTTACATCAAACACTGCAGGTTTTCCCGTTTACAATCTTAGGGCCATTTAGGCTGATATAAGGCTAACTTTACTATAAATCCTATTTACCCGCATGGTACAATTTTTATGATTTTGTATCAAGTCTATCAACAACCATTCGTACTATAAATCTTGATCGCCTGGGCTGCCCATTGGGTATGCAGAGCAGTCTGTTGCCAAAGACACAGCATGTTCCTGAATTTATTATCTCTTCTGTTTTCCTCCTCTCACGTCTTACAGCGCGCCGCTGACAATAATTCAGCTAACGTCTCTATGGGCCCACACCTGCACGTTCTGTTTGCTTGTTTGGTTCAGCCATTTGTGTGCATAATTATAAGATATCACGTGACACTTGCTTTTTTTCCCTTCTCATTATTCACCATTACCATAAACGTCATTCAGTGTCCATCTTTTCCCCTTTTTAAAAAAGTTTTGATGCCTCTGGACTTTTTTCCTGATAAACGCACAGGTACATATTCGTGCCTCAAGGTGATCAGGACAAAACCCACATGTTTATGAAGCTGTCTCGCCTCTATTCCTTATCACAGCACGTCCTCTTTTAATAATTTTTGGGGTAATATTTCTCTGGCGCTTTCACTGCAGTGATCAAACTTTTAGAGATGATTTTTAATGTACACGAATTAAATATCCGATCAGGCAGAGCCTGCCTCCCCGCATAGATGCTGGAGTCACAGTATAGGTGCAGTGCACTAATCAGTGTAGGTGAGAAAATATTGACATGATTTCTCTCCTACCTTTAGGTAACGGGCTTGGCTACGAGAAACGTTGCCAATAAATCTCCCAGCTTTATAGTGTCCACGGCCAGGGCAGCGCCCGAGATGCAATATCCTTGGCATATAATATTCTTTAAGTGCGCCGTAATCCCTTCTAAGTGCCAGGGTTTGATTGCGTTTCCAGAAACGGGCCATCTTTCCCCCAATATTCAAGATACCGTTTGAATTTTTTTTAATCGCATCACACCTACAGACGGCGTACTACTTGCGAATATCACACAGGTGATGTTGGGGCCTTAAAAACAGGCAAACCACACAGCTCAGTGACAAATCTTTCTCTCATTTCAATGCAGATTGGCTCAGTTGCGTCACAGCGGCTACAAATAATTACTAAAAGCCCCGACAATAAATCAGCCATGAGTAGGTTCCGTCCCAGAAGCGTTTCCTTATTTATGAAAATAAGAGGCCCCGGCTGTGACGGGGAACAGAGTTGCCGGTCAACTTTCGCCATTCGTTGTAGCGCTGTGGAGAGCGCGAGGTCATTGATTGATCATCCCGGAGATTGCCTGTGCCTCATTGAGCGCGAACATTCCTCGCACAAGAACCAATTTCCACGATTCTCCGGTCGTTACGGACGCTCAATGAATAATACAGACAGAAAAGGTTGAATCTTACCTTTTGGACAGTCCATATGCTGGAACGTTGGTACCTCCACAAAAGACGAAATCTTGTAAATATGAAATTTTAATGCATTTCACCCTTGGAGCGTCTTCGTGAGAGTTTCTCTGGTTTAGCAATCCGGAGAAGGTTCCTCGTTCTCTAGAAGGGCAGTAAATGCGGGTATTAACATCGCCGTCACGGCCACGGTGTGGCCAATTGGGCATGCACTCGCAATGCGGTTATCGGTTGTGCGCTCCGACACTATTCACATCTTTGGCAGTACTCCATAGACAAACCGTACGTAGTTCATCAACGCCGCGTCGTGTGCTGGGCTCCCAGCTGTTTTAACGTCGACCACGCTGTTAGCTGACTGTGGCGGGTCTCGTCTGATTTTACCGGCGGGTAACTATCTAGAGCGCCCCCACAATACCTCGCTGACCATTAATTAGAACGCAGGATCGACGATTTGTCCTTACGTGATTCGCGGCCAGCCGGTGGGGCTAGCAAGTTGCACAACTGTAGCACCGACAACAACCATGGAGAATGGAGCACTCCCTTGGTCTGATCAGAAAGCACCCGATCAGCGGGAGAGACATGCAAAGGAGAAGTCATGCACGATCGAGCAGACGAAAAGGGCTCGAACCATGTTTGCATACGAAATGGGTTGTGGGCGGTCTCTTCCATAAATGATGCCTTCAGATACTTCGGGCTCGCGCAAAACTGAATTGCTACTCTGAAAATACACTTACAGTCGGTGGCTTTAGCATCATGCTATGAGTTTGGTGGATCCTTTAGAGCAACATGGAGTGCTCACCGATATATAGCCTGGGTATGGTGGTGGGTTAGACTGGGTGTTCACACGGATGATGACTGGGACGTGTATGCAAACCTATAGGGGCATTCTGTATGGCCTACTTCGTTTGCAAGAAAAATTCTGATGGCATGACAATGCCAGGTTTATTTCATGTATCTTAAAATTGTGCACATGAAATGTCTTCGTTGAATTGCACTCCATTTTCTTTGCCCATACGAAGAATGGGCATGTTGCACTTTCAGTAGCCACGTTGACTTGGCGGAATTTCCATCACACCTGATCACTTGATTTCCATTAGCGACACAACGCCAAGACTACGAATGACTCTTTGTGCGCGCGCATGTCATGCGCGGTGTTGTTTCGTTCATTCATGTTCTTCTCTGGAGCTTTTAAAACTGGAATTCAATTAAAGATACGTCCGTCTACTCAAAAAGCATTCCGAAGGACGGGTAGCTCACACAGCACTTTTTGGCAAGCAGGAACGAAACATTATAAGCGTGTTTAAATGTATAGACGGTTTGTATAGCTGCCATCTTGCAGGCCGGTGCTTTTGTTCCAGAGGGGTATGCACAAAGGAGGTTTCCCAGTGGAACAAAAGAATTGCCCTGCAAGATGGCTACCAGGCAAAGTCTCTTTAGCTACATTTGGGAAGAGCTTTTTCGTAGATAAAAGCAGGGTTGATGAATCTACCCCCATTCTCCTCTCTCCCTTTGCCTACAGCCGAGGACTTCAATCATCCATGAGAATCCATAGTGTACATTCATGATATCCCAAAGTGCGGCTCATCCACGCACGACGACGGAATCACCACGCACGACTGCACAAACAATCGCCATCCATCATAATACGACAACAGCGCGGGATGAGAGGCTCCGTGTACACGACCGTATGGCGAGAGTCGCGGAGATCGAGACGTGCACTTATGGAAGCAAGCTGCTTTCATTTTTCACTTTGAATGAAACCGGGGATACGCGAGAAATGAGCCCAAGGCACTATTGCAAATAACAGTTCTTGTATGTTTCTCTAGCTCTGCTAGAAAAAAATCCTGGGTATCATTATCTGTGATATAGCACTCTTGTCCTTTAGATCCATTGTCTTCATTGAAAAGACGCGAGCTGTTAAGTTTTAGAAAGGGGAGAGCGAAACAGTGGATAACGATGGTGTTGAACCCACGTAGTCAGAGAAGGTCTGAAAATCCCACTCCAGTGGTCCTTTTAGAATTCGGACTGGGGTCGCCAGAGTTGCAAGAAACGGCAAAAACCTTGGTACTCAAAGATGAAAATAACACGCAAAAACAGGCTAGATGGCATTTACTTTATCCGTATGCTAGTTTGGCTCTATTCGCGGTAAAATTCTTTGGCTTTCAAGTTTCTTCTCTCCGACAATGTAAGGATGGTAACTATAACATTCTGGTTCGCATCAATGTTAGATCCGCAAGTATGTGCCCGCTAACTATCAGTCATTCCAGGAAGGTAGTACTAGTAGTAATTAGTTTATTTCGGAGTTGAGTTCCACGCTTGATTTCACTAACTTGCTCAAGAACTTTGATTGTCAGGAATCGTCCGTCGCCGGTTACGACTGCAAATGTTTTGCATCTGCATCCTTCGGTCTGCCTATTAAGATTATTAACATCGCAACGACGCTGCGTCACGGTATCTCTTCAGAATCACATTTATCAGTGGAGTACCACAACCAGAAATCTCAACATTCCTGCAAACCCAGGCAAGCCGAGCGACACCATACATGGCTATTGTAAATTTAAGGATACATGCGGTGCTTGCCGCAGGCCTAATTGCGTTACCAATTTTGTTCAGGCGATCCATTGGAAACATTTCTCTGCTCAGGACAATTCAAGACATTTTGGCGCCATTGGCGGCCACGCTCAGTAAAACGCACCCGGGCAACGCGGCAAAGGGATGCAAGGCAGTAAAGCACGTGGCTGGTATCTCGTTAGAGTTTCCCATGCATGGAATTGACATGAATGGACATCTTCCGCAATGTTGACACTATCCGTGAGAAAGTGCTTCCTGGCCGCACTTCCAGCATTATCGCAAGAATCCTGGGAGTCATAATGGCTTCCGTTGTTTCCAGAGTGATTCCGGATTTCTTACATCAAAGCAATACTTATGTGAAATTTCCTGCTTTATTTTGTTTCCATTCTCAGCTAACCCAAGAACATTTTTCCATAATTCTCAGTATGATTTTCTACAGCCATCACTGTTGTTAAAAATGGCGTACAACATAGATTAAGAGAGTTACTCAATAAAGTGAACAACAATTAACCTTCTGCCGGCAAGTATACATTATGTTCAAAATAAGGTAAGTTCAGACCTTTCATAAAAAAACCTAATATGTAATTCCCGGCCAAAAAGGTCCTCTTGGAAAAACGATATGCCTTCGAGCGTCATAGGCCCCTAGACGATGCTTCCTAACAGATGCGCCGTCTTCGGAGAGACAGTTGGACTGCATGTCCGTTACTTTGAGTCGGTGGCCAGACCTGTGCGAAGAAGTGGCCCGCTGTACTATAATTGAAATCTCGCCGGGCAGAGGACACCACCCTAACCTTGTTAGGCGGTAATCGGGTGAGAATTCGGCGCTGCGCGGTTTTCCCCCTTAAATCTATTTTTGAGCCATCCGGGTCGCGAAATCGTTTCCATTATGAAGGACAAAATATTATTACCACTCTGATATGGCATTGCCAAGGATTGGAAAAGGTTATTTCTTTTATGACGTTAGCAGTAGACTACCAAGCAACTTCAAGGGTCAGAAGTGCTCTGGTTGAGAAAGAAATTAAAGTAATAATAACCCCATTTTTGAACTTATATTTTAACTTACGTTAACTATCGGGACGAAATAATCCAGATTTCATCGGTTATCCTGACTTAATAACAAGCCAATGCACTACATTTTCAAGTTGAACCTAAGTTCGTAAATCTCTTTGACAGTTTTTCTCATTGCAATTTACGATCTAAGTAGATCCTTCTTCACTCAGCCTTGCCGTATAGTTTCTTGAAGTACATAAGATATTTGGCTATACAAATAACCATTTGTTTTGATTCCCTTGTACATTAAGTTTGATAGTATTTTGATGTGTGGTGGGCACACCTGAACGCATGTACCGAAGCGCTCCAAGGTATTACAATTGCTTGAAGCTAATGAGGGGGAGACGAACATTCTCCCACCGAGAAGAATATTGAAGGCAGGAGGAACAGCGGACACCCCGTGTGGCGAGAGAACTTAACGATGATCTACGGCAACGCCTGTGGCCACTACCTGATGTCCATTGGTTAAGGGTTAGACTGTGTTTACGCTTACATTTCGCATATCACTGCAAAGGTTTGACGCATTACGAAGGGTACGTGGTGTGCGGCCCACGTATGCCATTTATGGCAAAATCTTAGTATTTCACTTGAAGCAAAGGTAAATTTTACCACGTGCTAAGATAATCGATCCAGAATTGGGCACTTTTTTGCCGAACGCGGGGTACCAGGTGAATTGCCTAGATGTGGGGCAAACAGATTATCCAACCGCGTTAAAATATGGGAAAACATAATTCATTTGTTATTGTGTCAATTTTGTTTACTATTAGTTATGATTTTTGTGCCTAACAGTTAAGGGATTCACCTCGTATCTGCGTTGGGGAAAAACGTTTTTACAGTGAACTCTCAGACGCTGTGGGGGATACTAGAGATTGGATATATCCTCCGGGAAGAACGGCCACTGCTTGACCGAGGCGAACAAGAGCAACTCAGGGTAATGAGGACACTTCTTGATTACCGAGGGGTCACTTTCTACGGGTAAGGTTACAATTTGATTGCGCAGTCATCACCGCGGTCATCACGGATGTGACAGGGACCGATGAGGGGTGTCTTCAAATCTGACGGTGACAGGTTGGCTGGCTTGCGTGGTGTAGTGGATTAGGAAAACGATACGTATTGAGGAAGCCTGTGTTCCGAATCCTAATGGGAACCTTTTTACTTCTTTGTTTTACTGTGTATTTCCTGTGAAATAAAAATGAAATTCAAATGGTTAATTTACTCTCCAAATTTGAATATTGCTTTCCCCGAGAAAAAAAGCGCTTACCTGAACGCGTTCTCAACTTAAGGCACACTTAGGCCTATTGGATTAGCACCCATATCACTTAGTGTGATAATATATTATCGGCATGGTTCAAACTAGGCATTTTACTTTAAAAGCCTCGTATATTGAAAGTGATGGGTAGTTGGATCGGGTATCGTACTGGGTGTGTTGTAGGGAATTATGTTTATTTTGTCAACTACACTTTCAAACTAGCTGTACACAAATGACCCGACAGTGTAGTCACAACAACGACCAAGTCGGAATCAGGTCGTCGTTGTACTTTCCTCACAGTTTCACCTCCAGTCACCCCGATTCAAGTCCGTCTGGGGAGCGAAACTTAGGATCGGGTTCCCTCGCTCCTCTATTTTGCGACAGTCAGGGGGACTTCTATAATTCAAAGAAATTCGAAAATCTCAGGGGGCCTTCTGCGAACTTGCGCCTGGATGTTTCTGTCATGTTAACAGAAGCGTTGTCGTCTCCTGAAAAAAGTTTACGAACGAATGGAACGAAGTATATTAAGAGACAACAAGCATCGAGGCTATGAATAAATCAGTTCAGTGCATGTCCACTTTGCGATGCCAAACGCGGAGATGTCAAATTACTGGCCGAACTATACAGGTGGGGTTCAAACCCTTAATTGATATCATAAGTTAAGATGTAAGGGGTTGTGTTTTGAATGCTGTAATCCGATATGAAGACAGAAAAGA